ATGTATTTAACTCGTTAGTTTATTACTTCAGTAGGTTTATTACTTTAGTTTATTGCTTTCGGAGATCACTGGAAGCTTTAAATTCGGCAGATCCAATTTTTAGGCAACTGTATGTAGTGAAATTTTTCTAAAATGGCCACCAATGATTCCGGACGATTTTGGCTTTCAATGAGGTAATCGTCTTAGAGGGGAGAGCTGTTTGTTTAAATGACTAAAGTGTTTACCCCACACACCTGATATACTCGTATTACTAGATTAAACACAAAAGAGTAAGAATTTAGCATATATTCTTATTGTTCTTATTGTCTACTGCTTGATGAGAAAAAGATACGTATATCTGATCGCATGAGATAAAAATATGTTTTTATCTTGATTGTTTAAGGTGTTATATCACAGCCTCAGCAGATTCACCAACACAGCTCACATTAGCAGAACAAACAGGCAATGGACATGGACCTTTGTTAATGATGCCATTTATCTGTAAATACCGAACTGAGAATGAAACTACTTGTTTCATAAAGAATCAGTGATATTCAATACTGTTACGTAATTTATTGACCTGCACAACCAGAAACAAAAACTTTTTTTGTTTTGTTTTGTTATTGTTACAAAGGTTTTTCTTTGATACTTTACTTTAGTTATAAGGTTTTACTTGATCCGGTAAAAGCTAAACAGTCCAGAAACCATAACAGATGTAAATCGAATTATAACTATGCCTGAAAGTAGCTACAGAGACTTGGAAAAGTTTAAAATAAATCTCTTTATTTAAACATAAACTTCGAATATAAATGCACTTCCTTGTGCTGACAAAGTCAATCACAACTCGTGGCGCTGCAACTAGAAAAGAAATGACAATTTAAAAAGCAGCTACACAATTAAATTTTAATCTAAGCTGGCTCATTAACTCTACTCGTGTAACAAATTTAAGTGTCGGCAACAATAATGCAAAGCCAAATAATTGCAAACTTATCAGAGCTGGCAGGAACTAACGTAACATGCTACGAAAGTCAGAAAGAGGCTCTCTCTTACAATCCAAAAAAACCTTACTTTGATTACTATCTAACTGATTTGCATTCTGGTAAGAAAACGAGAAGGAGAAGTTATAGTAAAGGCTAAAATCATAAATAACTAATTAGTTTTAAATGCTAACCTTATAACGTTTTCGCCAGAATCATGAAATGCCCCCGCTATCTCTGGGTGTTGTTACTTATTGTAAAACTTCTGGTGGTCCGCGTGGAGCTCAACAAGAATTCTCGTTCCACTTTATTGATTAAAATTTAAAACGTTTTTCAGAAATGAAACGAAATGATAGTCTAAAATTTCAATATGGCGACTTTGTATGAATGGAAGTTTGCACCAAGTTACGTACTTCCTTCGATCTGTTTGGCAAGGTTATAGTCGCACTTTTGTTGCAAACAGCCTCGCTCTTCATCATTTGGGATAAAGCAGCCTATCGAAGTAGCCCCTATAAGCTATAGCGATTAAACTTTTGTCGGAACTAAAAGGAGATACACCGTTATAAACTGAATAATACTGGAAAACAAGAACTATAATTTTATTGCGGAATTCAACTACGTTACCTTCAACAGGCTGCATAAATATCGAAATAAAGCGTCTATCTCTCCATTTTTTACATAATAAAATTTATCGACTATCTACATGAGCCTCATTGAAGGAGAAGGCCGAATGTTCTTTCTATATGTCTAGTAAAATTTCAAGGTAGGCAATTCGCAATGAAAACTAATAACAACATGGACTCTTAGTATTTTAAAAGAAAAATTAGAGAAAGGTATCGAAGAGAATTGCGAGGATAATATGATTGAAAAACAAATACAAATATATATATATATATAGTAAACTACAAATTACAGATTGGTGGATCCGGATGATAATAGGATACTGGATTTCCGCGAATAAATCTCGAAGTATTTTAGTCAGTATATTTTAATCACATTGCCTTGCCAGGAGTCAATGCAAAAATTGCACGATTAGGTGAATAGAAAGCAAGCTACCGAAGCACGGAAGTTTGCCGGCGAAGAAAACTCGCATTGTTCGTGACTTTAACTGGCAGATGATAAGAGATGCTCATGACTCTCAAAATTATTCTTCATTGACATATCTGTGGTTTTATTACATTTTTGCGTGTACTCAAATCTTTTTGCAACCTCGAACTACTACCGTTTCCTGTTATAAGAGCATCTAGTGTGAACTCTACCTGAGTGCGGCGCCCCTCAGCGTCCTTGTAGCGTTCAAGAAAGCATCTGACCTACAACTGCGTCGTCCTAGAGAATCTTTTGTGCCAATCTTCCTTACTGAGCCTTTTATTTTTTCACAATACCTTCCAGTCCTGATGGAGCATCGTTATATCGCGGATGTAATAAAGAGAAAACTTTTCCAATTTTTTGAGTAAAAGAAGAGATGTCGTTAGTAAAAATACACTGTTGTTAATGCCTGTTGGTTAGACATTTAAAAAGACTAGACGAAACGAGTTGAATTGCCATCAGAATGAGTTATCTTGTTAAAACATTAAAGGAAACCTCTTCGAAGTGTTTATCGCTTTTAGTTCATGTATTTGATATCCTGGCAAATTAGAAAGTATTGTCACTTAACAGAAATAATTATCTCAAACATCGTGCATAACAGATACAGTGAAATAAATGCACAACTTTATCTTGAATAATATCTTTATTAAATCAATGCATTTGTGACGTTTTTTGACGAAATAATAAGAGCAGCATAATTTTTTGTTCCATTTGGGCTTAGTCGTTCTTAAAGTTAATTTTAAATATAAGACTTTATACTTTATGTCTTTAATTTCGGAAGGGCTCATTCTTAAAGTATAGGTCTGTTGTAACTGCTTAGCTTAAAACTACTTTAGGGACTAAACAGAAATTTGAGTACCAAAGTCAGGTAGGAAACTTCTTAGATATTTTCGAAGTCCGAATCCCGCGAACGGGCTGGCTGCATGGGCGTTTTCGTGGTTTTCCCCATGTGTAACGTGTATACGAGTCAGTTCCCTTAGAAAATCCTCCACGAAGGCATCCCTTCCCTTAGGCAGATAGCCCTAGTGTGCTTTGCCATAATTAAATAAACCAAACCAAAATCATCTTAGATATTTTCCTGTTTATTTTTTATAAATGGTTTCGGAAATAAAAAAATAATGTCCGGAATAATTTTTTATTTTATTATTTTTTATTGTTTGGAAATAAGGAATTTCTTCGGAATTTTTTGTAAGGACTTAGGAAAAAATCTTATTATATAGTTATATTGGCTGATTTAACAATTTTGTTACATGTCTGGAAGATTCAGCTTCAACAATACTACCACTGTAAATGAGAAAGTAAGCACAAAAAGGAAATTTTATTTTAGTATACTGTTGTCATAGATTAATTTTATCCAACCCTGGTGTTATTCACGGGTAACGGCAATCCAGTTCATATGGATTTTGAATCTTTTCTCTCTCTGAGTCATTGACCTGCATTATCAAGATTCTGGATATACTAAAAAGAAAATAGGCATGACGTATTAGAAAAATAATTTTATACATATACTGTTTTTGCACTCTTGGATAATTTTCAAATTACTACTTATCTATAACACATAACATATCTAGTATAAAATATAAGACATAAATTACTGTAGGGAAATAATGAAAATGAACTTTTCTGCAATATCTGAACCGTAATCATATAAAACTAATAGCATCGCTTTTCTCCATGAAGGGTGATTCCAGTAAAGGAAATAGGCCTGCACTCTACTGAAACTCTAAGTGTGCATTTGATCTTCACTCTCAGAGTTCACAGTTCTACTTAAGAGTTCAATTAATCCCTATATCACAACTAATATTTTCAATTTTTTAAGAGGAATAAAAAATAAAATAAAAAGGAAAAAAATAGGAAACAGGAGAAAATAAATAGGAAAATATTTGAAATTTCGATGCAGTGGAAGCAATGTAAAAATGTAAAATGTAAATATTCAGAGTATTGGAAATGTTATCAATAAGAAACTTCCCAAAACAGTTTTTGATAAAACTATATAAACTAACTCCATGATAAATTGAATGCCAAATGCTTTCAGAGAGCAGGCTAATCGGGTATAGTCCGGGACCCGCTCCATCCAGAGCAAAGCATAGCGACATAACACGTTTACAACATAAAATACCTCGCGTAACATTACCTACACGACAGGTGGCCAATGAATGGAGACATAAATTAAAAAGACAACGTGTAAAACTGACTATAACTTTATGTGTCTCCTTGTAAAATATAATTAAAATTTAATAAATCACAGTTACTTGCAGGCCTTAGAAATTCAAAGCAAGTTAAGTACGAAATATAATTTCCTTGCTCAAATTGTTACATTTATACAGTATGTAAGTGAACAAGATTACAGTTAAACTGAAATAAGAGCTAAACAATTTATTAAAATTCTGTTTTCCACGGTTCAGAAATTGTGTTTAACTTTTCCCCTTTTAAACATGCAAATTCAATGAATTCTCGAGTGAACAACCGGAAAAGGTTGTTATAACAACAACAACAACAAAAACAAAAAAAAAAAAAAAAAAAAAAAAAACCTCGAATAGGTCCAATTAAAATTAAAACATTCTGAATTTTACCTCAAATATACAGTTTTTACTTAATTGTGTAAACTATTCGTGACATAATTTCAGAATGTGCTTTCTTTTGCAATATCATTAAAATGGTGAAGATACTGCAAATGAAGATATATTGTAATCTAACCACTATCGTTTGAATAGCTGAAGAGAAAAAAAAAAAAAAAAAAAGTGCGTAGCATTAACAAAGAAGCTTTCCTCCGGTCACTTTCATCTCTCACGCCAATCTCTTTTTGTTTATTTTATTTTGTAGAATGTGGCATCAAAACGCAAAAACATTCACTACTTCCGGAAGCGAAACCCAGAGGGCATTGCTAGCGATCTCTATTCGAAACAAACCCAACAAAGCCCTTTCATGTGGTTTCTCCAGTTCTGTCTGACCGAACGACTTCTTAGAACGCACGCGGTGTGCGGAGTTTGACCTACTGCTGCTACAAGACTCGTTCTTTGCGCCCCTTATCAAACCCCACTTTCGTTTTGATAGAAGGATAATTTTCTGCTTAAAAACACGGGCTAAAAATCATTGCTCCTTCCGCTATTTCGTAATTTTTTAAAAAATACGTGTATTTATTATTACGGTTAATGAATTATTTGTTAGACGAATGCGGGAAAATAATTTGGAATAACCACGAGGATCTTTTTCCAGTATTCCAGGTAAGTACTTTTTATACGCTTCTGTCCCCCCCCCCCCACACACACACACACATACACACCAAAAACGTTCTGTGTGAGATATTTTTCATTTTCACTGCTGAATGTTCCTATATTCATATTCGAGTTAGTAGCGGTTTAAAAAATAAAATAAAAGCTGCAAAAGAAAAAAGAGAATTTTCAGTTATTTTTTAAATATAAATAATTTAAAAATATAATCTGTTACACAAAATATAAAACCAATTAAATAAATTATATCATATATATATACTTAAAGAAAAAATAACATCGACTGTTGCCAGCTCCTGAAATTAAATATTTGTTGTTGCATTAAAATTAACTAAAAATTATTTCAGTTTTAAAAACTTCGCAGTTTGTTTCTTCATTCCTTCGGTATGAAAACAAAAATAATAAAATCTCCAAATGTTTCAGGATAGCAGTATTTCTGAACGACACAATGAATAGTTTAATGATGCCAAAAATTAAGCTTAAATTCTACCTCTATGACTGAAAAACAAGCACTCGGGGAAAAATTTAATAAAAATTGCTTAGTAAACAATTAATTCTCTGAAATAATAAAAACACGAGAATGAAATTAAATAAAACAATTAAAACAATAAACAGAAGTAGTTAACTGGAATATATGAGCAATTAAATCGAAACGGCAAGAGTTTGGAAACTGTAATGATTAAAACAACGTGAATCAACTCCTTGAATTAAACAATGCACACATATCTGAAGGAAATTTAGCAGGAATAATAAAGGAAAGAAAAATTATAAGTTTTTTGGATCTTTTAGAACTTTATTGCGAGAATTTACGAGATATATATCACCTTAAGATTTAAAAAATTATTAGCCCAAAGAAGCGTTATCTCAGAAGGGCTATTAGTCTCAAAACAGAATTTTGCTTTGGATAAATATAAAAGTGTGAATCCCTTTTCAAATTGCTGCGAAATTAAATAATGAAGAATTTGCATGAATGTAGCACTGTGAAAAAAACAGTGGTGCCTAAAGTCATTAAATTTTGAATAAAGTACTCCTGGAAGCTTAAATTTTGAATTTCGAATTTGTTTTATTGTGTATTTCATATTTTGTAAAACTTCACATTTGTAAAATGAAATTTTAAGGAACAAATTCAATGATTTCAAAGCGAGCAGTGGCAACACTGTACGGGGAAAAACATTTTTATCTCCAGCCTACAGACAAAATATGCTATTTTCTTTATAAAAAGATATGTTATTTTTAAATATTTCATTGTGTATTTCAAATTTTGTGAAACTTCAAAGAGAGGAGGAATTTTTGATTAACAAACTCAACGATTTCAAAGCAAACAGTGGCAAAACTGCACGAAAAAAAAGTATCTCCATCGCGTGACACTGTCTATCGGAAATTCTAAAAATAGGCTGTTTTTAAATATTTTTAGTCCAAAGGAACATTAGCCCAAATGCTTTCGAAACGTGTATGTGTATGTAAAGGGAAAAAGCGCCCCTTTGGGCTTAATATAAAATATAAGAGCCTTCAGATTTTTTTATTTATTTTAATTGTTCCTTTTATATTTTGATGAAATTCTCTTATAATTTGAAACTCTCTTATTTTACATTGTAACTTCTTTCTTTCTCTCGCATTTTAATCCGTTAAGCTGACATAAAACGTTTTCACTCTTTTGTATTACTCCTACTAAATTTACGGCAGCTTTTGGTGCGTTCTTGAATTCATGAGTTTAATTAAGCTTGTTCCATCATTACTCATTTTAAATATATATATTTTATTTTTAATATTGATGGTTCTCCATCAACATTGCGTACAGAGCTGCGCAGTTAATGCTGTGGGACTATGCCTGCGCAGCCAATGAAGAATTCTGCGCAGCTAATGAAGAATTTCTTGTTCACTTCTACTTCTGTTACTATCTTGATACACTTTTTATATAAGCTTCCCATGATATTATCTGACCAAGAATATGCAGTAGCTAAAAAGCTTTTATTTCTAGAAAACTTAGCTAAAAATGTGAGATAAAAACGTATTGATTTATTTTATTGCATACTTTTTAATTTATAGAATGTAGAAGAGTAAAAGAGGTTCATCGCCTTTGAATAAAGGAAAATTATTCCTCCTAAGTAGCAACAAATCATGCATGACGTTATAAGGGATTTCTCTCGCCTTCTCAGCATGCCTTCGTAGTGTAGTGGTCAGCACGCTCGACGCGTATTCGAGAGACCCGTGATTTGAGTCCCGGCGAAGGCATTGCTCATTTTTCATCTCTCCTGCTTCAAAATAGCCTAATTTCTGTGCAACGTCACGTCACCTTTTTCTTTCTTTTTTTGTTGTATAAATACCAACGAAGTGTAGTCACTCGGCTACAGTTCCTTAATATTTGAATTTAGTTGTCAACTTTGGCAAGCCGCATTAGCTTTGCGAATACTAAGACCGATCAAACGTTTAGTAGATCTCATCAATTTGTATTTCATTATCCAGTTTGACTTGTAGGTTTGTTTTGAATTACATGCAGGTAGCAGAAATTTCTTTTTGTTGTACTTAAGTTTTGTGTTACCGTCAGGATGACGTGTTAATAAAGAAGTTTTATTTTAAATCTTCTCTTTGAATTGGTATCTCCGAGCTAAAGGGTATACAAGACGATAAGTATCTGACTCTGTTTATGGTTCTGGTCACTGAAAAGTGAAAAAGAATTGAAGTGTGATAAGTGAACAGTGAAATATACTGCTGCATAAGTGTTTGTTACTACCGTCTAAGCGTTTGTTTTGTTGCATAAGAGTCAAATAGATTTAAATCAACTTTAGAATTATATCTACTAAAATTAAAAATAAAAATGCCTTTCGAGTATGTATTTTTTTCCCATTGTCGAAAAAAATATCTGTTTAGTGATATTTTACAGCACTAAATATTTGTGAAATTGAAAAGCCCTAACGTGAGGGTTCTTAATTTTACTCTCTTACCTATTCGGCATCTCTGGATAAGATTAAAAAAAGATTTCATGCAAATTTAGAAAGTGCTTTACCACAATATTTAAAAATTACCAACAGTGTAATAAGCGCTAAGAACTGCCTTAATTGATGAAATCTTATCTGCCGATTGATTGCGAAGCCAGCAATATTTGTAAAGCAGGCTGTTATAAGATCACGCACATTGAAGGCACATTTATGTAAAATAGCTGTTGGTATAACTGTTTTTTAAAATATAGTCTTTCAATAACAAATATGCTATTCGAGATCGCGTGTCCCATTCTCGTGCTGGTATTAGCACGAAAAGGCTTTGGATCAGTGAATATTACGTACTTCAGTTTCGCTTAGATACAACAGTAACAAACGGTTATACTATCTTACCCAGAGGGTTTAGTAAATTAACCCAAATTTAAATTTTAGATTTTTTTTTACAAATGCATTAATGTACGATTTTTGCATTTATTTCATATAAAAGAACAATGCAGTTGGTTATAATAAGATATATCTAAATAAACAAAGAAATAAAGAAATAAGTAAATAAAGTGTAAAGCTGTCTATATAAATTCCTATTTGTAGATATGCAACTAGAGTGGAAGGCCTTAAATCTCAAAGATGTGAAACTAATTTCTGAAGACGTCTTTTATTAGATATATAGAGTCCTACACATTGCCAGCAATACACAGAGATATAGCTAACCTTTCATCCGGTTTCAAAGCTCTGTATTTTGTTTGTATAGGACTGCAAATAAAAAATTACTGCGATATAAAATGATGTAACAAGTTTCATATTTTAATCATAAGACTCTTGTTATACGACCCACGTCCAAGCGGTACTCCAATTCTGCCCACGGACTTCTAATACTTTCCCGTCTGATTGTCACCAAAGCGACAGAGTTGGAGAGTTTCTCTAAATTTCTAGGAAGGAGAGCCCAAAAGCATTATCTTTAACTTACTCTTAAAGGGAAAAAATCTCTAGGCATTCGATCAGGATACATTGCTGGTAATCTGGATAATCCTAATTAATCTTTCCCACGTCTACCAGTCCAACGACATGATAGCTCAAGATTCATTTCACGATATTAATTCACTGAAACATTAACTGGAGCTCCATCTTGTTGGAATATGAAATACTTGAATAATGTTTCGTTTGGAGAATTAAGCTACAACTGCAGCATAACAGGGTACAACATGCTGATCAGTGTTCTCGAAAATCAAAAAGGAGCCATTTACGTCTGTCTATGAAATGGCGCAGAAGAATCTTGATGAATCTGAATCTATAGAATCTTGATGAATCTGTTTTTACGCTGTTACTGATTACTGTTTTTACACGCGTCACAGTAACAAATGGATAAACATTTTCCATATTCTAAAATATGAAACGCTTTCTTTTGTAAATATGCCATTTTCAAGGTGGAACTGAATTAGAATTTGCTGCAGCTGCGAGATAAATATAAGCTACAAAAAAGTCTGCACATGCGGAATTTAAAATTTAGATGCTTATTTACTTTCTTTACGTGAATATCAAGAACATGTGTGATCCGTAATTTGGAAGTTATAGGGCTTCCAAGAGTCATTTGAAATAACTCTGCATTCAGAATATAATGGAATAAGTAAAGCAAGTAGCTGTTTCCTGCAATGTCAAACAGTTTTTCTCTTTGTAACCTTACAAAGACGATTTAGGATCTGAGACGATTTAGAATCTGGTACTAATCTGAGGGGAAAAACATCAGTGAAGACAACTCGATTAGTGAATGATAGATAAAAAATTGCGATAAACAAACCAAGCGATTTAAATCATCTCGCTTTGGATTTCAAGTATTTTATTTATTTAAAGTTTCCTATATTGTTTTAACTTCCTTTTTGCAACTTCACCACTGAGTTCTTCCTTCAAATTTGACGATTGTTTTAAATCTAATTTATGACTGACAGATTTACAGAAGAATTAAAATTATTTTATTGCGAAACTGTGCAATCATTTAATAATGGAACATTCGAAAGCTTTTATGTTTTCTTAATTTTAATTTTGTTTTATTTGAGTTTACATGTT